TGTGAGACTTCTGAGAAGAAAGATTCTAGACATGTAGCTAAGTGTCTGAAGAGTTGAGATTTACTGCCTTTGTTGATGTGAAGTCTATTATCTTAAGAGCAAGAGTCAAAAGGCAGACTTTTTAAGCTATGGAAAATGCAGTCCAACTTAATTCATGGATATGATATGCAGGGCTTTAGGGAGAAAAATGTAAATGTTTTATTTATTATTTATTTATAATGCTGTTTATTGCCGTCTTTTCTCCTGCAGGTCAAAAGTACATACATAAAAATCTCCCTGATTTTCTCTTCAGAACAGTAACACTGCTGAGAAAGAGAACTGGCCTGAAGTCTCTCTAGAGTCAAGAGCTATTTTCTGTCAAAATCTAACACTTTAATCCAGGGATGTCCAACCTTGGCAACTTTACGACCTGTAGACTTCAGCTCCCAGAATTCCCCAGCCAGCCATATTGGCTGAGGAATTTTGGGAGTTGAAGCCCAGAAATCTCAAATTTGCCAAAGTTGGACATTCTTGCTTTAATCATTACACTACCCTGGTTCTCCTAGAATCATTAAACATTAGTAATCAACATAAGAGAAACTTCATTGGAATATAATTATGTGGTACTATATAAGATGAGTGTGAACTATTGCAGACATTCAATATCGAAACTGTAAGAATCTTTATAATGTTGATATTAGGAAGTAGGGGAAGAGGCCCGTATAACTGGCCCTTTCTAGCTTTCTCTGATGTTGTCAAGTTTTGTGACTTCATCACATCAGAAACTTTGGGTGCATGTGAAGAGAAATTTTAGTAAAGATCAAGTATTATTTTAAAGAATATTTATACAGTATTTGCCAGTCAACTCTACTTTCTTATGATGACTGGACAACATTTTGCATTAACATTCATAGTAATATGTAATTCTTTCAATTGCTAAAATGCACGTTGTCCTGTGAACTGAATTTAAAATATTCTTTATTGTAGTGAAAAAAATAATGATTTGAATAATTGGTTGTTTTCGTAATGCCATATGTTGAAAAGGAACTGTTTTCTTATATGTAACTATATGTTGTTAATTAAAACTTGTGAATCATCTTGATATTAGATCTTATTTATAGTTAAAGTCAATGCCTGAACATTTTTTTTCTGGAACATTTTCATCCTTCTTTAGAAAATTGTCATTTAAAATGCACATATATGTACACAACTTCTGTTTCATTTCAAATACGCCCTTTTTTTCCCATAAATAATCACATTTTTCAAGCTGCAGTGATAAAAGATTTCCTTTTTGACAAGTTGACATTATCTATACACTATTGTTCAGGTGGTTGAATCCAAGTTAACTTTTACCTACTGCTATTTTATTGTTTGCTTCACACCATTAACAGAGCTTCAGTTTCAACATGACCTACTGAAATTGAAAAGGTAACCTTCCCCAAATAATAAATGGGGGATTCACTACATTGACATCTTGTTTAGGGCTTTTTCTTTAAGCCTGTGACCTAACACATGCAGAAATTCTACAAGCTACCCACATGCAATACCAGTAATAATTATATTCTCCCAGTGGGGTCCTAGATCCGTTGATCTTCACTTGTAGTGTTAATTTTAATGATCACAAAGGTTGAAAATAATAGAATAAATGAACAGAGAGGCACAGGTATAAATAACTTAAGACTGTTGTTTTGACATTCAGAGTGTTCAAAACTTTACAAGTCAAACTCACAAGACCTGCAAAAGCATCAAACATAATTGACAGTACAATAAAATAATGATACAATTAGAAAACACGTGAATCTAGGAAAGGTTCAAATGCCCCAAGATTAGGTTACATTCATGATCAATTATATAAACAATGCACTTGCAAATTCTTGGTGGCGTTCAAAGAACAACATAACTTGCTTCTTTGCAACAGAACAGTTAATCTGAAGAGCAGTCATCCCCTCATGCCACACAATTAATGCTTTCAAAACTACAAGGATAAAAATTCATTATGGAAAGTGAAAAGCCCTTTAATTAGAAAGGAAGCTGAGAATTCTTGATCATGTCTTGTGTGTCAGGAGTCTTGGTGACTAGTCAGCATCTGCTTAGGAAAAGCCTGCAGCTTAAGTATATGGTCTACATCAGAGGTCCCCAACCCTCAGTTCCTGGGCCAGTACTAGGCCGTAGCATACCAGAAACTGGGCTGCGCAAACAAGCAAAATCCCATCTGCAAGATGCAGGCAATACACAAAACCACACCCCTTCCGGTCCACAGAAAAACCTCTCCACAACACCGGTGCCTTGTGCCCAAAAGGTTGGGGCCACTGGTTTACATGGTTATCTGTGACAGAATAAACCGAAAAGCATGACTGATTTTATTTTAATGGTCAAGATTTAGAAAGTAAGTGTAAAATTCAAAGGTGATGAGGCTTTCTGGATAACCAACACATTGTTATTTTGTAGTATAAAGATCTTTTGGGGGGGTGGGTTCATAATGTTTATGAATAAAATTATAAAAATAAAAAGATATTGGGGAAATGGACATAGAAGAAACAAGAAACAAGCATACAAGTAGAAGAACTGTAGAAAAAGAATATACAAATCCTGTACAGTGTGCAAATGTATCAGGAGATAGACTACTTTTCCAACAGAATGAACGGAAAGTGAACACAAGGAAATAGCAATAAGCACTTACACCGCTTCACAATGCTTTACAGCTCTCTCTAAGTAGTTTACAGAGTCAGTATATTGCCCTCAACAATCTGGGTCCTCATTTTACTGACCTCAGAAGGGTGGAAGGCTGAGTCAACCTTGAGCCAGTCAGGATAGAACTCTAGAGTGAATAATCTGCAGTACTACCTTCTAGCCACTGCGCCATCATCATAGAATATAGGGAGCTACTCAGAACAGAGGGAAAAGAATTATGATACAAAATATCACAGAAATATGTTGAGTGTATATTAATGGTAAGTGTAAGATGTTTGGGAGTAGCAGTGGTATATCAAGGGTGGACTAAAATTATAACATTAGTAAACAAGAAAAAATGTTGAAATCATAATTTCTCTCACAATCTTGAAAAAAAAATGGCAAAGCCGCCACAGGTGTAGTGATACAATTTGAGATGTGGTGTACTTGCAAAGTATTCTACAATAGCTTAGCATGTGAAGACTAATTGTGCCTGATAATTGGACGAATTCTCTTATTGTTCCCCTATAAAAATAGAAAGGTACCACAAGACTAAATGCAAAAGAAAATAAGGGCATTAGCTTAAATTAAGCACATTATTATGTCTGAGATTTTCCTGCTGAAATTTATGATAGTGTAAAAGGATTAATGGAAAATATTTGGGAAGTATATTTGCTTGTTTGTTTATTAAATTTATTTGCCACAAGTATTGTGATCTTATGGTAAGTAAAAGTTGCACTCAGGAGTTTTGTCTTCAACAGTTATTCGAATATATATGACTATAGAAAGAAAGTTTAATGTGCATCTGTTTACTTAGCAAAATCGCAAAATATAGCCTGAGCATTGACTATTTTGTAGCAATATGGAGTTGAAGGTTGATTATGGAATGTGGAATCTAGAGCAGTAGAATGAGATGAAATTCAGGGATAAGATTGTTTAGCTACATTTTACGCAGATGAGGCTGTGTTGTTAGCAGAGAACCCAAATGATTTGTAGAGACTGTTAAATAGATTGTATGATGCCTTGAGGAGCATGGATCTGAAAATTAATATATTTAAGCTATTTATCAATAAGTGAGAATTTGCAAATTATGTATGCCTAAATACCAAGAACAACTAGCTGAATATTCATTAAAAATGGAGAAATTTTAAAACATACACATGCTGTTAGAAAGACAGTGGGTCCTGTGGGAATGTTTTTTTTTTCCTTCAAAATATGTGAAAATATCTACATATAAAAATATGCTTTTGCCTAGAAAAACCAGTGTGAAAGAATTCTATTGTGGCATTTGAATCACACAGAGATAATTAAATGGGGATCAAAGTGCAAAACAAATATATAAAGGAAGTGAGTTGAATGGGAAAGGAAGGGGAAGTTGAATCAACTGTGGTTGGGTGAAGTTGATAAGATCCACAGTAAGAAAGAGGTAGGAAGCTTAACAAAGAAAAAAAATGTATTGTACCAGACTTCTCCCAACAGGCTAATTAAATAAGCATAGAAGATCCAAGAACTTTTGATAAGGTAGTTTTATTACAGAAAAGCTAAGAAGCTTTTAAAAAGAATTCTTAAAAGAATTTGAGTGACTGCTGGGTATCAAGTACAAGCTTTGTATATAATGACCAATATTCAGATTTCTTGTACTTCTTTCTCTTACTGGTTTTATATAAAGAACAACATCTTTTGAACGGGATATGTATTTTATATATCTGTTTCTGGATTTGGTACCAGTCTAGTGTACAAAAGGTTGTTATCTTTTGACAATATGAAAGCTAACTCAGATTATGTATGGACATGATGGAAAAGATGATGGTTTGGAAGGATAAAAAAAGTATTGCTGATGGTGTTGCAATAAATAGACTTAGTAAGGTTTTTTTTTTCTCTTTTTTCTCTTTGTGTTCTAATTTATTTTTACGTTTCTCATAGTTTTTTTCTATGCTTTGCAGAATTGCTTACTCCAAAAAAAGGAATAGATGAGGGGTATTCATATATGCATATATTTCCAATAAATAATTGATAATATCTGTTGGCATTTGGTTGGGCTTATTTCCTGAGAGGGGGTGTTTGTGTATGTATGAGGGGGCGGAGAGGGGAGGGAGACAGAGACTGATACAATTTGAGGCACTGGCTTGTTTTCCATTAGGTGACTCCATTTAGAAACGGAATTAAAATTAAAATCTCATTTGCTTTGAAACCTTGCAGATGAATAACTTAATTAGTTCTATAGTTTTCCCCTGTTACTTTGTTCCAAGATATAGGAGATGTTTGTATCTAAGTCTTCAGCTAAGATGAAGAGGCAAATGGATACCACTACTAATAACTTTATTGTCCTTCTGTTTTTCCTAACCCTCCAGATGCCCGAGAAATCCGCTGTTGTTTTGGTCCCAGCTCCAACATCTGCTTCCTCCACAGGGAATGTTTCATCAGCCAAGCACAACAGCATTTTGCACTGATTGCTCCTTCCTCTCCACATGGCCTTTCTACTAGTGTCAGCATACCTTCTGCTGACTCCTGCTCAGGCAGCTCCAGTTGAGAATGGGGCTGTCATGGAGACACTGACATCGCAAATCCTACTCAGCAATAAGAGTGAACACTATTTAGCACAAGTGAGACCTCCTGGCACAAGCAGACAAATACCTCAGACCATCATCATTGGCGTGCGTAAAGGAGGGACCAGGGCCTTACTTGAAATGTTGGATGTTCACCCAAACATTGTGGTAGCAGCTACTGAAGTCCATTTTTTTGATTGGGATGAAAACTACGTGAAAGGCATAGACTGGTATAGAAGCCTGATGCCATTTTCATATGAAAATCAAATAACTATTGAAAAAACGCCAGGCTATTTTACCTCGCCACAGGCTCCTGAAAGGATTCACGATATGAATAGCTCTATTAAACTGCTGCTTATTCTAAGAGACCCCACAGAGAGAGTTATCTCTGATTACACCCAAGTCTATTACAATAGGCTGGAAAACCACAAGCCTGTTCAGCCCTTTGAAGACATTGTTATAAAAAACGGAGCCCTTAATACCAAATACAAGGCTATCCAGAGAAGTCTGTATGACGTCCATATGGGGAGATGGCTTAAATATTTCCACTTGGATCAGATTCACATAGTTGACGGGAATACCTTGATCAGAGACCCTCTTCCTGAATTGCAAAAAGTGGAAAGATTCCTTAATCTGCCTTCCAAAATTTTGTCTTCAAATTTTTATTTTAACCAGACCAAGGGCTTCTATTGCATTAGGAGCGATGGAAGAGAAAGATGTTTGCATGAATCCAAAGGGCGCCCGCATCCTGTGGTCAACAGTACGGTCTTAGGGCAACTTTACTCCTACTTCAGAGAGCACAATGAGAAATTTTATAGAATGATTAATCATTCTTTTGACTGGCATTAGTAACTCCGATTTTGAAGAAAAGGGTTTCCTTGTAAACAGTCCTTGGATAAATTATTTTCAAGTTCTTCCTCTTAAATTCCGGGTTACATTCATTTTGATAAGAAGATGATTATTTTCCTCCCTGAGAGAGTCTAGGCGTGCATTAACGTGCTCAAGGAAGAGAGGCTTAACTTTGGCTTTTAATTACTGGAATGAACTTTGCACCAGCTTAAGTCCCCCAACCTCAGTGGAGTTATGTCAGAACTACACTTACATTGTCTGTTTCTATTCAGTTTTACGAACAAAAGAAGCTTAGCAGAAAACCACTTTAATTGATGCTTTAAGAACATATAGCTGAAATGTTATTATTCTACTTACAGGTTTTGTTGGCTGCTGTTATTTTTCTATCCAGCTCCATGACAGTGGGACTGATTTTTAGATTTTTTCATACTGTAAGATAATTATATATTAGAAGAAAAGATGACTTAGTGGTTCCATTATATCATTTTATTTATTCAGTGAAATTATAGCTGTAAAGTATATGCCATTTAAATATCAAAAGTGAGTTTAAACAGTTTTGGTTTATGTTATGGGTCCCTCTGTGTAGGAATATTTGTAATCGGTAACACAGTTATTATTCACATAGGTTTTTTTAAAAAAACAATTATTAAGGTTTTAATATTCCCAATTGAAGCAAGAAGACTCTAAAGTAACACATTATACAGAGTAGACATCAGGAATTTTTAAGCTGTGTTCTTAGACATATCAATTATGTAATCATATAATCATATAAATTATGATTAGATGATTAATCATATAAATTGTATGAGCCACCCTTCATAAATGCATAATTATTAGTCTTGTTTGTATTTTGTAATCACTTGTTCCAATAGTTTATTAATTAATAGTGTTAATTTGGCACATTTATGAGAAAAAAATGCCTGCTCTCCAAAGCGTGGATTAATTTTTGTAATATCTATTTGAAGACCAGATGTATTCAAGTGCATAGTAACTTCATGTGGTACTGTATACTATACACACAATATTCAAAATAATCAAGTATGGGTTTCTGATTTATCTATAAAACTATAAAATCTACATGGATGCATTAGGATTTGTTTATAATACATTTTTACTGAATAATGTAACAATCATCTCTGCTTCTCATATTTGCTGCCTCTGGGGTTTTTTTAGATTGAGATATAAACACATATCACTATCACACATTGTTGGCAAATGAAGATGTTTGGTTAGCATCCAAGCAGGCAAGAGGATGCTAATTTCTTACAGGGCATAAAATTGTCGTTAGAAATACTTTAACACTCACATAGTCAGTCCCCAGTCAATGTAGAAAATTCAGTTTTGTAGTATCCTTGATGGATGGCTATCTATTCTAGACGGTCCTTTAAAAAGTGAAACGCACGAAAGACCTCTGAAATATTTAAACAGCTTGTAATGTCAATATTTTAAATATAGGTTTTAAATATGTTTTAAATATAGGTAATCCTTGACTTACAACAGTTCATTTAGTGACTGTGCAAAGTTACCATGGCACTGAAAAAGTGACTAATGACAATTTTTCACACTTACAACCATTGCAACATGGCCAAGGTCACATGATCAAAATGTGGACACTTGGCAACTGGTTCATATTTATGATGATTGCAATACCCCGGGGTCATGTGATCACCTTTTGTGAACTTCTGACGAGCAAAGTCAATGGGAGAATCCAGATTCACTTAACAACTTTGTTACTAACTTAGCAACTGCAGCGATTCACTTAACAAATGTGTCAAGAAAGGTCATAAAATGGGGTAAAACTCACCTAACAACAAATGTCTTGCTTAGCAACAGAAATTTTGGGCTCAATTGTGCTCGTAAGTCAAGGACTACCTGTACTTATTTGAAATTGCTATTCTTATAATTTGAACCCGTTGATATACTTTGTTATAAATAAGAACAAAGGTACCTCACTTAGAGATATGAGATTGTTACATTACAGATAAAGTGCAACAAAAGATACTTTGGAGATATGAGTCTATATATATCCTATTAAAATATTATTTTCATTAATTGATAGATTAAATTAAAATGGAAGCTGTCATGCTGCAAAGTAATTAATCAGCATTATTATTATCTTTCTTTACCAAAATGCCTCTGAACCAAAAGAACTTGGTTGGAGCACATACAAAATAGAACCTAGAACCACAAAGAGTCCATAGTACCTTTTCCAGCATACACTTTGATCAATCATGCAACTTACAATCTCTTTATACTGTGTACAGTCAGAGGCTCTAGTTAAGTTGCAGCACATCAGATTTGTCGCAAGTATCATTTTGCTAGATAAACTTTATATTTTTCTAATCAAAAATATTTCTGTGTTACTGTTCCTGGCAAAATCTCCTTAATGCAGTGAATAAAACACGGGTGTCAAACTTGCTGCATCACATTGCCGTGACATGATGTTTCATGACATTTTTCCCACTCGCGGAGCTGGGGTGAGTGTGACACATCCAGCCCACAGGCAACCAGTTTGACACCCTTGTTTTAGAACAACTTGAAGCACTGCGTAGAGTTTTAAAGCATTGGTGAGACTTTTAAAATGAACATGAATATCTAATGACATTGAACTATAGGGGAACATACAGGCATTTAAAGAATCCTTTAAAGCCATTCCCTTAGCCTGTGGTGGAAAAGTCCAGAAAGAGGGAGTCCTTGTGACTTCCAGCCTAAAAGATCTAACCAAAAGACCCCTGACCAGATTTTTAATTGCCTTTCTTAAACCCAGACTGGTTCATGTAATTACAGGCAGTTCTTCAAAAAAAAAAAAACCCTAATCCCAAGATATGGTTAAATGTGCTTACATTTTAAATTTAATTTTTGAAGTCCACTCAAATTTATTATGTCCAGGCTAGGATATAAGCCTAGTAAATAAAAATAAATAAGTTGTAGTTTACTTGACTCCAGAAATACAGCCAATACAGATGATGCAAAATTTGTGTTAGATAGTTTGATCTTCAGAGTAAGCAAACAGTGGGATTTGGTAGCAATGAAGGTCCTGAATTGTCTTTTAAATAAGTTCTACAAACAACATTATAACAGTTAAACTGTATATAACCGGATTGCATCTCACAAGGACTGGGAAGAATGTGTTCGTTCAAATGAACAGAAAGGATTTAAACTTAATCCTGAAAGTCAGAGCTAAATACTTCAAATATAACGTACTGTATACTAGAAGTAGAATGCGGCCTGTAAAGCCATTCAACCTCAGAATTTCCCCCTGCCTCAGAATCTGCTAGAGGAAAAAAAACATTACAAAGAATAGGGTGTCCAATAAATTCCTGAGTTGTAGTTCAAAAATGGAGAAAGGCATAAATGGACCAGTTGTTCTTGATCTGTTCCCAACAAGTAGACTAGAAAATAAAAATGATAATACTTTTAAGGAAAATGGACAGCCATTTGTTGGAAATGGTATGTGGTTTCCTGCTCTTTTATTCTATTAAAGGCAGAGGTGGTATTCAGCCAGTCCTGATAGGTTCTGGAGAACCGGTAGTGGAAATTTTGAATAGTTCAGAGAACCAGCAAATGCCACCTCTGACTGGCCCCACCCCCATCTATTCTCTGCCTCCCAAGTCCCAGCTGATCGGCTGGGTCTTCTTTGGTTGCCCTGCCCAGGAGAACAGAGCTGGAAAGCAGGTTAGTGGGGTGGGGAGGGAATGGAGACTTTGCAGTATCCTTCCCCTGGAGTGGGATGGAAATGGGGATTTTACAGTATCCTTCCCCTGGCATGCCCACCAAGCCATGCCCACCAAGCCACGCCACACCACTGACTAAAGGTGACTATATAATGCTTTAAAGAAAACTAACATTTGAGTATAGTAGAAGTTTATGTTGAACTTCAAAAAGCAGATTTTAGTAATGTAATGATAATAGGACCCCATGGCAGGAGATCCACTGGAAAAAAGATCTCAAAATGGATGGGATTTTTTTTTTTTTAAAAAAGTACCAAATGTACAATAGCAAATAATTTAACAACAAAAAGGTAGCAAGGTTTTGAATGACAAAAAAAAAATAGAAGATAGCAGAAACCAATGTAATTGCACAAAAAACACAATGTTCTGAAAATCAAAACAGACACACAGAAGAAGAAGAAGAAAAGAACAAGCCAGTTCTCTTCAGAGGGAGAGGAAGAAGAATTGGTGAATCACAGTTTGACAGCACTTAGGAAGTCTCTAGAGCCAGACATAAAGTGATTGGTGATAAATCATCTTGAAAACACTACAGTGGTTAATAGAATTCAACATGGATTGCTCAAGAACAGCTCTTGCTGAGTTACCCGATACCTTTTCCATTATTCGATATATTTTTTTGTGGACTGAAAAACTGTAAACATAATGCATCTTCATTTTGACAAAGCAGTTTACATTAATTTTTACTGAAGAATTTTACACAATAATAAAAGCAGTACAAATTTTTAAAAAGATGAAAAAGAATAAAGACTATAGATAAAGAAAGGAAAAAGGCGAATGTATAGATAAGCAGCTTACAATTTTCTTTACAGCAGATACAAATACATTTATCATCCATTTTTCTCTTCTCATATTTTACCCTTTCTAAAAACCAAATCCAGGTTTTTTTTTTATGTTTTCAGCAAAAAGTCCAGAAAAGATTTCCAGTTGGTAATAAAAAAAAAAACATTTATAAATTGTTTTATGATTACCAAAATGGCTCCTTCCTCTACTTTGAGTCTGTTGTTCAGGATTTGCTTTTTTTACAAATAAGGCCCAGCAGTGAATTAATTGAAGATGCTAAGGCAGATTCCTGATTAATAAGAGTATCTGAGCTCCTCCTGAAAGTACAGAGCACATGGAACCCCTGTTTGTAATTGCATCCGACATCAGTTTTGCTCCTTCAGGTTTCCCCTATTACAAAACTTCTATTATCTGGGCTGTGCCTCTGTTTGTGTGAACACATCGACCTCAAAATTGTTTTTCAGACATTTGTCCGATGTTTCCCTGGTATTAGAGGAAAAAGAAAATAAAGCTGAATATCACTTATATGTAGATGGCTGTTTTCATCTGAAGCTCCTCATAAAACAACTCAAATTTAGGCATTTAATTGAGAAACAGGATCTGAGGGCCATTGGGGCAAAAAAACTTCCCACCACCACCTGTTGAGTAGCTACTCTAAAACGTAACCTCATCCCTTGAGCTTCACTGCTGAGGAAGTTTTGAACTTTGGATCTCCTGGTGTTGGCATCCTGAACCCACCTTCTACATGCTAAATCATTTTGATGCAGTTTTGCACTGAACTACGCAGCTAAGATTGTTGGATTTATTACCCTGTACTGCTAAAGTGTCAAGCAAAACTCTTGTGATAGATCCCTTCCCATGAACCGCCTTGTCGTCTCTTGGTATATGGTTGGAGCATTCCTATTTATTGATTGGGATAGCTGGATTGTAGCCCTTTATTTTCTGCTTTTCTATTGAACATAGGAGTCTTCCTAGAACAATCAAAACTTTTTTCTAGCCTAGCATCTTGTTTCTTTCTGGGCCAAAAAAAAAAAAATCCACCAAGAAATCTATAACTATCTCATAAGCAGAGAATGAATACAATGACATGATCCATTTGGTAGTTTGTTACCGTTTAAGTGTGATTACTTTCTTGATTCTGTTTTTTTTAATAAAATAAGCAATTACACTGCATTGGTCCTCATACTTTCTGAATTTCACCCAATAATTGTTGGCTGCATTGTCTTGAATTTTCAATTTTTTTTTAACAGCAGTATTTAAAATTATTGTAATCTTTATTTTTTCTTATTGGTCCCTTGTAGTTAGAACAGAACAGAATAGAATAGAATAGAATAGAATAGAATAGAATAGAATAGAATAGAATAGAATAGAATTCTTCATTGGTCAAGTGTGATTGGACACACAAGGGATGTGTTTTCAGTGCATAAACTCTCTCTACATAAAAAAATATGCTCATCAAGAATCATAAGATACAACACTTGGTGATAGCCATGGGATACTAAATAAGCAATCAAATCATACTAGGAAACTAAATAAAGCAATATAACTTGTAAAGATACAAGCAACAAGGTTATAGCAAAGGAGATAATTAATAGGAAGGATGAGAAGAATGTGTACAGTCTTAGTAAATAATTTGACTGTTATGGGAATTAGTGGTTTAACAGAATGGTAGCATGTGGGAAAAAACTCTTTGTGTCTAGTTGTTCTGATATGCAATGCTCTATAATATCATTTTGAGGGTAAAAGTTGAAACAATTTATGTCCAGGATGCAAGGGGTCTGTAGATATTTTCACAGCCCTCTTTTTGACTCGTACAGTATACAGGTCCTCAACAGAAGGCAGGTTGGTAGCAGTTGCTTTTTCCGCAGTTCTAATTATCCATTGAAGTCTGTGTTTGTCTTGTTTGATTGCAGAGCCAAACCAGACCAGTTATAGAGGTGCAAATGACAGACTCAATAGTTCCCCTGTAGAACTGAATCAGCAGCTTATGGTCCCTAATAATTATAATTAATAACTGAGACAACATTGTTCCCAGGGAGCTGTCACCAATGGCTATTATACTGAGCCTATGTGTTAGCTATTAGAACTACCTGGTAATTATGACTGCAGTTGTTGCACATCTCATTTGAAGCAACCTACTTTCTGAGCAAAAAGCATTGCTCAGCTGCCAGGAAACGTAGCCCATGCCTGAGGCAGAGTCAAAGCTATTATGTCTCAAAACAGTAGGAACAATGGCAATTTTTCCTAACTTCAGAAATACTACCCACCAGAAAGATTAGAGCTTGGCTACCATTGTCCTTTTGGCTACAATAGGTAGGAATAACTGGAATTAAAATTCAACATGTCCAGAAGGTAGAGATAGGGAAAAGCCAAGGAAATATTAGCTCCAGTGATCACATAAAAGAGACTCTGGTCCTGTGACACAGTGCAGCCATGCTGTAGGTTGACTGGTGCCAGCCATGAATACAGATAGTCCTTGACTTACAACATTTCATTTAGTGACTTCGAAGTTACAACAGCACTGAAGAAAGTCTATGGAGATTCTCAGTCATCCAGAATCATAAGGTGCTTTTCTTCAAGAGACAAACTGGACTTTCCGGTTTTTCTTCAAAGACGGTTCACTTCTCATTCAAGAAGAAAGTGCCTTACGACCGTTCCTCACACTTAGAACCATGGCAGCCATCCCTACGGTCGTGTGATCAAAATTCAGACGCTTGGCAACCGGCTCCTATTTATGACAGTTGCAGATGTCCTGGGGTTACGTGATCCCTTTTGTGACCTTCTGACTCAATGCAAACTCAATGAGGAAGCTGGATTCATTGCACAACCTACTTACTAGCTTAATAACAAAACTAACTTAACAAATGTCTCCCTTGTAGTCATAATTCGAGGACTTCTTGCAGTGGTTGCGATTACTTAGTGGTGGGCAATGAAACCGTGGATAGGAACTACCATTGCTGCTTTGTGATCTCACTCTGTTATTGTACAGGTAGTCCTCAACTTACAACAGTTTGTGTAGTGAAAGTTCAGGGTTACATAAACCACTGGAAAAAAGTGACTTATGACCATTTATCACATTTATGACTCTTGGAGCATTCCCGTGGTCATGTGATCAAAATGCTTTGTCCCAAAGGTGCTTTTTTTCCCCAAGAGGCAACTGGATTTTCTTGTTGACCTGGACAACTGAGAATCTCTGTAGACATTTGGATGATTGGCAAGTGGTTTCATATTTATGACGTTTGCAGTGTCCTGGGGTCACGCGAACAGCTTTTGGGACCTTCTGATGAACCAACTCAATGGGAAAGCCAGAAACACTTAACAGGCGTGTTACTAACTTAACAACCACAATGCTTCACCTAGCAACTGTGGCTAGAAAGGTCATAAGATGGGGCAAAAATTCACTTCGGAAACGCCGCATGTAATGACGTATATTTGGGGCTCAATCGTGTTCCTAAGTCGAGGGCTCCCGATAGCTGTGCTTTCTCCAATGTTTCCAGAATACAGCCCTGCAATTGTTTTTCTTTTACTAATTGTGTTAAAGTTATCAAAGTATAAAATACAAATGAAAACGAAAATAATGGGGAAATGGGGGGGGGGAAGTGGGGAGGAGAAAGAAAGAAGTGTAAAGAAAAGGGGAGGAGAGACAGCTGTTGGAATCTGATTCCGAAGGGGAGGTCGGACAGCTGACAGGGAGTGGGAGTGTGGCTCCGGTGGCTGTAGAGGAAACTGGGGAAGGGTGCAGTCCATCTGGGCATTCAGAGGAAGATCCAGGCCCACCCCCTCTTCATCCTAGGGCACGTAGGGAGGAACGGATAAGGGAGCAACCTGGGTTACGGGGGAGAAAAAGGCCCTGATTCCCTTCATTAGCTGCAGCTGGGAAAACAGGATATAAAGGGTGTTTGCGCACAGCACCTTGCTGGAAGCAAAGCATGCATTATCTTTGTTTGTCAAGTCTTATCTGGGTTCTGGCATCCTCCCAACTGTGTGTGTTTCGTTATCTTTTGAATTCTGCAACTCCTTATCCTGCCTGGTCTCATGAATTGCTGCAGCATGGGTTGTATTGGTTTTTATTTATAATTTATCTGAATTTTGGGTTCAGACTGAATTCCTTCCCTTTAAAAACTGTTCTTGGAAGAGTTTTTTCTCCAGCCAATGATAACTGGACACTGGGGGCCAAGTTGGAGGAATTAAAGGGACTTTACCTACTTTTGTGACTTTATTGCTTTTGTACCAGCCACGGGTCATCACAAAAGCATTGATTTCCAACTCTTTTTAGCGCAGTACGGTAACAATGCTTCCAACTGTTTAAGGCACTCCCAAGATTTGGCATGCCAATGGCAATGCTATTGCCCTATTTCTGTGATGGTGAACCTATGGCATGCTGCCAAAAGTGGCACCCAGAGCCCTCTCTGTGGGCATGCGAACTGTTGCCCCCACTCAGCTTTGCCACACGTTTGCGGGCATGCTTCCCACCGGCCAGCTGGTCTTCAGGTCTCTGTGCGCATGCGTGGAGGGCAGGGTGCATGCAGGGGGTGGGGTGCATGCGCAGGGGACATGTGTGCAGGGTGGGGTGCATGCGCAGGAGATGCACTTGCATTGCATTTTGGACATGTGCACGCATATATGCTTTGGGCACTCAGTGCTGAAAAGGTTAGCCATCACTGCCCTATCTGATACAGCAATACAAAGCTGTATAAAGCTTTTGTACATTGGTGAAAAAAATCTTTTTAAATTAGTTTGGTATTTTCCCCTGAAATTAACCTTCCAAAGAATGCTGTCTAGATGGATTACTGGTATATCAGTCTGGTTTATCAGAAAAGCCTTCACCCATTTACTTCCTCGGCAATTCCAAGAAACTTTTGTGAGAATAAATTCTTTTTAACAACTGACTAGTGTCAGTGAGAAGTCTATTATATTTAGCAGAACTGTGCTTGCCACATTTTTCCTTCAAGTCTAAATCCTTTAGATTGAATTTTAATCCAATTCTCCGAACCAGTTTTAGCTTCTGAGCTTCTATCCCACGGCTTGCGAGAGTTCCCACAGTAGCATTTCTTGCTCAGTCGGTGATTAGTTTAAATAATCCGGTGAGTGCAAATGTGCAGAAAGTTACCAAGGAATCAATTCTTAATAAAAGAGTGTGGCGGGTCAGAATTGATGTATGTTTTTTCTGTTTGGTGTCCCCAGTTGTTGACTTTCCTTAGCGCTTCATACATTAAATAATTTCAGCGTGCCTTGGTGAGAAGTTTACTTCAGTTCAAATTAATTGTTCTGTTTTCATCACTAGACTGAAAAATTGAAGAAGAATACTTCAATGCGGGTTAGATGTAATGATCATAGCCGGTTTTACGGTTTTATCAGGGGTGGGATTCAAATTTTTTAACAACTGGTTCTGTGGGTGTGGCTTAGTTGGTGGGCATGGCTTGGTAGTCATGTGACTGGGTGGACATGGCTTGGTGGTCATGTTATTGGCTGGGTGTGGCCAACTCAATATCACTCACATTGAGGCACACATCTCCTCACCTGGCCTCTCATGACTGTGGGGATGCTGCAACAATCATAAGTGTGAAAAACGGTCATGTCACTTTTTTCAGTGCCATTATAACTTTGAATGGTCACTCCCCAAAAGCCAAGTACCAGCAAAGGAGGGGAATAAAACTCCAGAGAAGCTCCTGAGACAGGAAGTCTAGTCCTGCCAAGAATGTAATAAGGGTTAACGGAGAGGCAGTTTCTGTAAGCAACACCAGAATGTTTCCTTCCTGCCTTCCTTACAGGATTAGGCCAGTAATTTCTTCTGACAACCGGTTCTCCGAACTGCTTAGAATGTTAACAACTGGTTCTAGCAAATAGGTGTGAACTGGTAGAATCCCACCCCTGGGTTTTATCCAATACAGTTTGCATTAAAAAATCCCACCAGGCTCAAGGTTGACTCTGCCTTCTATCCTTTCAAGGTGGGTAAAATGAGGGCCCAGATTGCCGGGGGCTGTAGACTGACTCTGTAAAACCGCTTAGAAAGGGCTGTAAAAGCACTATAAAGTGGTATATAAGTCTAAGTGCTATTGCTATTAGGCCAGTAGTAGCTAACCTTTTGGGACTCCTGTGCCAAAAATTGTGCATGCGCTTTCATGCCAGCACCCAGAAGGCAATGCACATGGGGGGGCACACCCCTGCACATGCATGCAAAACCACCCCGTGTTCACCGCACATCTCTGCAATGCGTGAGCATCTTCCGCATCACCCCGCCGTCCCCCACGCATGTGCACCAGATAGCTGACAATCAGGTGTTGGGCAGGTGGCACATGCGCATGTGTAGTAGACCTGCTCTGGGCGAGGACTCACATGCCAACAGTAATGGCTCTGCGTGCCACTTCTGGCATGTGTGCCATAGGTTCGCCATCAGGGCATTAGGCTATTCTTTCATTAAATCATATCATCCCAATAGTAAAAAAAAATAATTAATTATTATTATTAATTAATATTAATAATAAATATTTTCATTGCAAGACACATTCTAAGTTGGATAATTGAGCTGTCACATTACAAGTAGTCCTTAACTTACGATCACAACTGAGGTCAGAATTTATGTGGTTAAGTGAGAAATCCATGGGTTTTGCCCCATTTTATGACTTTTCCTGCCACAATTGTTCAGTGGATTGCTGCAGTTGTTAAGTTAGTAATACGGTTGTTGAGTGAATCTGGCTTTCCCGTTGATTTTGCTTGTCAGAAGATTGCAAAAGTCAATCACATGATCTCTAGGACCACAGCAACGGTCATAAATATGAACCAAGTGCCAAGTGTCTGAATTTCGATCGCGTGACCATGGGGATGCCGCAATGGTCATAAGCGTGAAAAATTATCCTAAGTCACTTTTTTGAGTGCCATTGTAACTTCAAATGGTCACTAAATGAACTCCCTATAAGTCAAGGACTATCTGCACTTTTATGTAAAGATGATACAATGTTCTTCCTGAGCTTGATCTAAGGCAGGAATCCCCACACTTGGCAATTTAAGAGTTGT